TTTAGTTTCCATTCATTTTCTTCACAACCATTGCACTGAAATGAAATTTGGTATACAGCCTTACAGGTATATCAGATGAATGTCTAGGTCAAGTTCTGTTTTGGGTATGATCATCTCGCCATTTTTGACAGAGTTATACCCCTTGGCCTTAGAAAAATTCCAATTACTTGCAGTTTCTGTTCATTTCCTTTGCAGAGGTTGCACATAGTGAAATGCAATTTAGTATACAGATTTATCAGATGATCATGAATATCTAGGTCAAGTTCTCTTTTGGGTATCCTTGCACCATTTTTGACAGAGTAATGCCTTTTTGGACTTAGATAAAAAATTCCAATGTGGGGGGAGGGGGGCATAAGTATTTTACAAACATCTCATTATTTTTAATTTTAGAAAGTGCACTGTGTGAGTGTGTGCAATTGTGGTGGTGAGTGGGTGAAAATTGTCTTGTGTTTGTACAGTGTATATATGGATATGGAAAATGCTTCAAAATAAAGCATTTAAAAAAAATTTTTGGAAAGTATGGCAATCATATACCATGCAGTACTCAGAAATGCTAAATAAAAGGCTGCGTAGAAGAAAAAAAAATTATTAAAACTACCAATCAAATAAGTATTAAATGTAAATCTTCTAAGATGAAGGTTTTGCTTTGTCAGATTCTTTGCTTATAGGGACACTTACCTTTAATAATGTCATGACAGGTGAGGCACATGGCTGGTCTTCATGCTGGATCAGTTCTTAGTTAAAACCATCCAGTATTGCCCCAAGATTGCCAGATGTACAGACAAAACCTGTAATTTAGCAAGCTTCTGTAATATTGAATTATTACATAGGCCATAGTTGTATGTGCAACTGATAATGATGTAGGACTAAGGTGCCTGACAAATAATGAGTTATAAATCTTACAAATATCCATTTATTTGATACAAATCTTAACTTTCTTCATTAAATTTTATCAATGATTTTACAAGAAAATCAGAATAAAAATTGTCCTTTTTATACATAAAAAATATTTTCATTTCAAATCTTTTTATTTAAAAATATTTGTTGCATTTTCATATTTAGGGTACCCTTCCTAGGCCAACAATAAAAAAAATGATTTGTTTGATGTACTCTGACCGACCTGTTAAAATAGCCCCTACCCATTTGCATTCATTTCTTAGGGGCACTTAAATTTTTTTAACACCCCCCTTAATTTCCATAGATGTTTTAAAGATAAGGTATCATATTTTTTTTTTAGGATGCTTTTTAATTTAAAAATACAAAGTCTTTGTAACTAAATGAAAACATTAACAGATTTCTGAGTCTGTGGTTTTAAATATGACAGTTATCAATTTATTCAATGCTGTAAGACATAAGAAAAAAAAACTAGAAATATGTCCACAGGACAGGAATGCCCGCCAAGGGTATATTAGTCATGCAAAATGAAAATTTGTATGAAATTTGATCAGAATATCTTGAAAAATGTTACAGTTGAATTGCTTACATCAGTATGTATCAGCATATGAAGTTTGACACTAATTTCAGAGATGTGAGGTCATGGTCAAATAAAAGGTCAACGTCATGTTGATGCAGTTGAATTGCTTACATCAGAATGCATCACCATATGAAGTTTGACACTAACTTAGGAAAATTGAGGTCAAAGTCAAAAGAAAGGCCAAGGACAAAAAATGTTTGTTTCAGTTGAAAAGCTCTCATCAGTATGGTAAGTTTGATACGAATTCATGGGTATAGCGAAGTCATCTTGGATTCCCAGCTATAAATTTTCAATGAATTTCTTATACGATTATAATGAATTATGGATATAGCGAAGTAATTTCATAGGTCCCAGCAACTTTGTTATAACCGAGTTTTGCTGTAACACCATCTTGAATGGTATGTTTAAAACTAAGTTAAACACTAATTTAAGAAAAGTGAGGTCAAGGTCAAAGGAAAGGTCAAGGACAGAAAATGTTGATGCAGTTGCATAGCTCTTATCAATATCTATCAGCAAAGTTTGATGAAATATCTTGTATAGTTTCTTTGAAACTGGGCTTTGAACTGAGCTAAACGCAAAGTGTGACGCATGGACAGAAAGACAGAAGACAGTCATGACAAACACTATATGCCCTGGCCATAATCATGGTGGGGCATAAAAAAACTACCGGTACCTACCAACCTACCTGCCAACCTTGATAAAAGTGGGTAGGAGTACATCAAACAAATATATTTTTAAAGCTGGCCAGTTGTTGACTAGTATATTAGTCATTTTGATATGCTATGTCTTATAAAAAATAAAGTTTATATTTGTCTTAGAACTTATTTGTTGCATCAATTTCATACCTGTATTTGATTTGCATTGTTTTGGATGCTGATGATTCAAAGTCAGTATAGTCTTAGGTGCTGCTGACTTTGGATCTCTTAGGAACTGCATCTTTTATCTGTGTTACTGGTTCTCTTGTACCTCTGCTATAAAATAAGTTTACAGTTGTGTAATATCAGTGAATAAATTGAACAGACAGATTGATTGTTTATTGTTTATCGTTCCTCTCAAGAATTTTTCACTCATATGGAAACGACAGTGGAGAGCTGCAAATTTTGTCCTAATGACCTATACTCAGCACTCAGGGCCATTGACTGATTGAGCAGGAAGGGATCTTTTTTGTGCCAACACCTGACCTACTGCAACAAGGGGCCACAGTTATACTGTATCATCCCAAGGACAGGTCTCCACATCCCACAGTGGGATTCAAACTCATGATGTAAGGATCAACACCTTATTTCGCGACTCTACTAGAGCAGACACTCTAACCACTGTGCCATGCAGGCGAATTTAAACAGACAGAAAAATTTACCAAAATCCATAAACCATGTTCTATAAACAGGAAACATACTCTCTAAAGTGAGAAATATGGTCATCTAAATTTTATTTAATGCAGAGAGATGGCAAAATATATGAACATCTTATCCTTGTGAAATAGATCTAAATTGCTACAAACATTTAATGCTCAAAAAAATAATCCATTAATACAAAGCAGGTTAAAATTTACTGAAAGACAAGATGTGTTTGTGAAACACTGATGCCCCCGTACGGCAATTTAGCGACAGTTAAGCTTTCTCAAATGCAAATCAAATATGTTAATTGTACCAAACTAAGGTCTTTTCACAAGAAATGAGAAATGTAAACACTAACTACACCTGCTCCAGGGTTATGACCAATGTTAACATCTTAAAAGATAGGACAAATTCCGGGTCAAGGTCAAAGGGTCAAGGTTGTTGTGTTCTAAAGAAAGGCCTTGTCTCAAAGATTATGTATGGGAAGTATGAAAGCACTGGCCCTTACCGTTCAAAAGTTATGGCCAAGGTTAAAGTTTGTAAAAAGTAGGTCAAACTTTAAGGTCAAGGTCAAAGGGTCAAGATTCTTGATATCCAATGAAAGGTATTGTCACAAGGATTACACATGTGAAATATGAAAGCTCTAGCCCCAACTATTCAGAAGTTATGGTCAAGGTTAAAGTTTGTAAAAAGTAGCTCAAACACCAAGGTCAAGGTCAGATGGTCAAGGTTCTTGAAATCAAATGAAATGTCTTGTCACACGGATTAAATTTGTGAAGTATGAATGCCCTAGTCCTAACCCTTCAAAAATTTCTGTCAATGTTGTATTTTTAAAGTGGGTCAAACTCCAAGGTCAAGGTCAAAAGGTCAAATTTGGTGGTACCCAAAGAAAGGTCTTTACACAAGGAATATACATATGAAATATGAAAGTCATAGCTCCACTAAATCAAAAGTTATTGGCAAGGTTAAAATTTTTGCTGACAAACAGACAGACAGACAGACAGACACGACAAAAACTAATTACCCCCGAAACTCCGTTTACGGGGGCATAAAAGGTATATTAAAAAATTACCCAAACAAAAGTGATGCAGCCACAATATCATAAATATGACGTTGGTTCCCATCAATGACAAAACTCCTCTATAATCAGCTGATGAATAACATCTCGGATTCAAGAGAAATCTGTTAACAAATTAAGGCAAAAGATAATTTTGAAATTATTTCATTCGGTTAAGAATAAAACACTTCATTTTCCCTCAAAATAAACAAGAAACGTATGACACTTTCTGATTTGTTTACCTGTATTTCGATCGAAATATTCCTGGTGGACGCTCGCACCCAATTTCTTATGACATGAAATTCATACATCGTAAGTCGGACAACGTTAACCCTTCGGCTTTGTAAAACTATTTAATTTCCCCCTGAAAGCTGTGTGTAAACCAGAAACATGCTGAACTCAATACACATTCACCATGACCATGTGCGAGGAAGTGAAAATTATCGTAAAATCTCGCGAGTCACGTGACGAGACTTACAGACTCTGGACCGAATTTTCTCAGCTTTTGAAATAATGAATAAAAAGTTCACTTCCGGTTAAGGGAGAAGTCATTTCAAATGGAATTTAAATAAACATAATGAAGAGAGATATCTCTTTGCAATAAAGAGATATCTCTTTTTGCTTCAGAGATATCTCTTTTAGACCCTTTTGAAAGATATCTCTTTCACTTTGAGAGATATCTCTTAAGATAAACTTAGAGAGATATCTCTTTTACTTAAAGAGATATCTCTTTAACTTGGAAAGATATCTCTCTAAGTGAAAGAGATATCTCTCTAGGTGAAAGAGATATCTCTCTAGTTGAAAGAGATATCTCTCTAACGATCAGAGATATCTCTTTAACGTTCAGAGATATCTCTTATTACGAAAGAGATATCTCTCAAGGAGAAAGAGATATCTCTCAAAGAAAAAGAGATATCTCTCTAAGTATAAGAGATATCTCTCTAACTTTAAGAGATATCTCTTTCTTATAGAGATATCTCTTTAGAATAAGAGATAGCTCTTTAAGTTGAGAGATATCTCTTATTTTTAAGAGATATCTCTCTAAAATGAGAGATATCTCTGTAATTTTCAGATGAAATTTATTTTCCGAATAAATAGTAAAAGGGCTTGCCATACTTCTGAGACACCATACCTGTTCCTGGTTTAGCAGGAGTGGAGCCAACTTCCTTCCTCATGTGCTGATCCTGAAAGTTTTAATTGTTATTCAGTATGTTAAGAGAGCTGCTCATGTAAATCAAGATGTAAAAATAAATTGATACCTAACTTGAATCATGCATATTAATTATAGCTATATATATTTATAGTGTTTTCTATCCAGCATTAGCTTCTCAAAGGCATTCAGTCCTTCTTCCATCATTACATGATTGTTTCGAATATTGAGTATTATTTTTTTTGAATAGTTACCAAATGAATATAATACCCTGGTAATGCTTTTGAAATACAATACTCGGTAAATAAGAGAATCCATCTCTCTACTGTAACAAACATTTCTAGGTTACCTTGCTTCTCTCAGATGTATCCCTGTCCGTTAGACTCCTACTTGTAGACCCAACGTCCACCTCCAGAGACAAATCCAAGCTACTTCCCTCTTCACCTCCATTTGCTCCTGTGGAGCTACTTTGACTCGTGCTGCTTTGTCCTTGAGATTCTTGGATACCACTTTGTCTATCCAGTGTATCCACTGATGCAGCTTGTCGTCTGCCATTGGTCAATGGTGAACCCTCTCTGACCTCTGACCTTTCCTCTCCCTGTTCTTGGACTACAGATCTACCTTGTGAAGTATGGACAACAGGCATATCATAATACCTCACTTCTTTCTGAGGGAACTCTGGAGAGGAAATACTTTGCATGTACATCTCAGGTGTTGGTGCTGGGCCATACATTTGCTCAAACCTTTGATTAAAATCATCCAAGAAATTATCATTTCCTGTGAGAGCTGCAATCATGGCATTTCTTCTCTCCTGGAACTTTGCCATGGCTGATTTTACCATGCCAATGACTTGATTCCGTACAAATGCAGGGTTTTTTTCCTTACAATAGTAATCAATGCCTCGCATCATAGTCAGGCCTGTTGGAATAGAATATTCCCCAGTTTTGGGGTCTGCAGTTAAAACTGGCCTGATACAGTACATCTTTTGATTTTTGACAACCTTTGAGCAATGTCCAGTTGGTGTTGTGGGATCAAGTCTCGTTTTTCCAATACCTTCACTGGTGAAAAATTGCAGCTTTTTGTCTGAACAGTAATTCTTGGTAAGGAAGGGTAAGATGAACATTGCTCTCTCACATATATCGTGAACATTATCATCATGGGCGGGAGGAAACTCTTCACTGTCATGAGGCTCGATTTTTACATTTGCCCCATTTTCTATTGTATCTACAATATTTTGAAACCAGATTCTGAATTCCGCAAATTTTGAAAAATCCTCTTTGGCCGATACAAAAACAAAGTGAACCAGGTGGAAATGCTCCACAGGTTCGTGTGTAGCACTGCTGGGGTATCGTGGATCATTCCTGTAGACTTCAGCATCATTTATTCTGTTTGGTCCACTGTATTGGTGGTTTGGTGGTGTACGATGAAATCTCTGGTGAATAGGTTGAGCATCTGTTTCTAAGCTTAAGTCTCTTCGAATACTGGTACCAGTAGCCATGATTTAGTTGTATCTATAGGAAAGAAAATAAGAATATTTCAAGCAGTTGCCACTACCGGTAATAAATACAGCAAAACTCAGTTATAACAAAGTCACTGGGACCGCTTTATCCGTAATTCGTTATAACCATATGAGAAATTCAGTAAATTTGAATAGCTGGGGATCTAAGATGACTTCGCTATATCCGTGAATTCGCAATATCCGTGTTCGTACTAAACGAGTTTTACTGTATAATCATATATCAAGTACCTTAATAAAAATATAGTTTTGGAACATTTCCCATTAATACTGTTAAATCTTAAAAGACTCAATCTAGATTCTCTGGTGACAGTTACAAATGAAGTAAGACCTGTTATCAAAGGCACTAGCACAAGACCAAATCTAACATGAAGAACCTTGAGAAATGTAACAATCCTGGTTTCATCTCACAAAGGATGTATCTCATCTATAAATAATTTAATTTTACTTGTAGCACGTCATTTGATTGGATAAAAGATTTTCTCCATTTTGTATAACATATAACTTGCCTACGTCACAATGAGTTACGTCAAAAAACGTATTACTCCGCTTGACGTTACTTTTAAAATTTAATCAATGTGAAGCCTTATTCTGGGGGTAAAATTATCTCATTGTCTGCACTGAAATTAAATTATAAGGAATGATTCAGAAGCTTATTTCAACTTATATTATATGATATAAGAAAACTTGGGGCAGTTTACGCTTTTTTATAAACCGCTTCGCGGTTTATAAAGACTTAACTGCCCCAAGTTATGTTATATCGTATAATATAAGTTGAGATAAGCTTCATTCCTTAAAAGCAAATCAGAATTACATGTACTTATTTTCATTTGCTGAGTGGGGAATTTATTGGTCAAAGGAAAAATAAAATGTAGAAGCCTATATTTTGATTTCCGGGCCTAAATGAATTGAGAGCTACAACAGCCAATTTAATCTACAGATCTAAGCACCAAATATTAGCCCTTTCACAGTAACTGCGGTACTACTCTTCTACAGGGCAAATTAATAACGTTTGGCATTTAGTTGATTATACGATAATTAAAACAGCCTTTTCAAAAAAATTGCTTTAGCCTTTTACGTCATAATTTCACAAAAATAGCCAATATCATTTTGCCCTGCAAAAGAGTAGTACCACAGTTATTGCGAAAGGGTCTGTTATCATTAGTCGTTAGTGTCTTATTCATCAACTTTTTTATAATATTCAGGTACAAATATTTCATTTACCCCGGTAATCTAGTTTAAAATTATATCATAAGTTTGTCACATTGTAATCTGGCATTATCCTGTTATTAGCATCGCGATGCTAATAATTTTTGACGTTATTTTACGTAACGTCAGAAGCGTTAAATGAGTTAATATTTTAACATTTAATGATTTTAAATTGTTGGAAGTAAAATTTAGAGGAAAAAAATAATTTAAATACCACCAAACTAATTCGCACCGCGATGCTAATAACAGGAGTATATATAGAGAGACGACGTTTCTAAATATCAAGATTATAAGCTCCACAAAGGGAAGTATTCCCGGGAAAAGGGTTTCTTTGGGGGATACCATCAGAAAAAAATGGGGCTTGGCTTTTTTGGGGGGATCACTCTTAAAATGACACGTTTTAATGAACAAAATACCTCCAAACTAATTAGCATCGCGATGCCAATAACAGGAGTATATATAGAGAGACGAGGGACATTTAAATACCTGAAAACTAATTCGCACCGCGATGCTAATAACAGGAGTATATATAGAGAGACGACGTTTCTAAATATCAAGATTATAAGCTCCACAAAGGGAAGTATTCCCGGGAAAAGGGTTTCTTTGGGGGATACCATCAGAAAAAATGGGGCTTGGCTTTTTTGGGGGGATCACTCTTAAAATGACACGTTTTAATGAACAAAATACCTCCAAACTAATTAGCATCGCGATGCCAATAACAGGAGTATATATAGAGAGACGAGGGACATTTAAATACCCGAAAACTAATTCGCACCGCGATGCTAATAACAGGAGTATATATAGAGAGACGATGTTTCCAAATATCAAGATTATAAGCTCCACAAAGGGAAGTATTCCCGGGAAAAGGGTTTCTTTGGGGGATACCATACAAAAAATGGGGCTTGGCTTTTTTGGGGGGATCACTCTTAAAATGACACGTTTTAATGGACAGAATACCTCCAAACTAATTAGCATCGCGATGCCAATAACAGGAGTATATATAGAGAGACGAGGGACATTTAAATACCTGAAAACTAATTCGCACCGCGATGCTAATAACAGGAGTATATATAGAGAGACGACGTTTCTAAATATCAAGATTATAAGCTCCACAAAGGGAAGTATTCCCGGGAAAAGGGTTTCTTTGGGGGATACCATCAGAAAAAATGGGGCTTGGCTTTTTTGGGGGATCACTCTTAAAATGACACGTTTTAATGAACAAAATACCTCCAAACTAATTAGCATCGCGATGCCAATAACAGGAGTATATATAGAGAGACGAGGGACATTTAAATACCCGAAAACTAATTCGCACCGCGATGCTAATAACAGGAGTATATATAGAGAGACGATGTTTCCAAATATCAAGATTATAAGCTCCACAAAGGGAAGTATTCCCGGGAAAAGGGTTTCTTTGGGGGATACCATCAGAAAAAATGGGGCTTGGTTTTTTTGGGGGGATCACTTTTAAAATGACACGTTTTACTGCTTAAAATACCTCCAAACTAATTAGCATCGCGATGCCAATAACAGGAGTATATATAGAGAGACGAGTGACATTTTAAATACCGCAAAACTAATTCGCATCGCGATGCTAATAACAGGAGTATATATAGAGAGACGGCGTTTCCAAATATCAAGATTATAAGCTCCACAAAGGGAAGTATTCCCGGGAAAAGGGTTTCTTTGGGGGATACCATCAGAAAAAACTGGGGCTTGGTTTTTTTTGGGGGATCACTCTTAAAATGACACGTTTTACTGCTTAAAATACCTCCAAACTAATTAGCATCGCGATGCCAATAACAGGAGTATATATAGAGAGACGAGTGACATTTTAAATACCGCAAAACTAATTCGCATCGCGATGCTAATAACAGGAGTATATATAGAGAGACGGCGTTTCCAAATATCAAGATTATAAGCTCCACAAAGGGAAGTATTCCCGGGAAAAGGGTTTCTTTGGGGGATACCATCAGAAAAAAATGGGGCTTGGCTTTTTTGGGGGGATCACTCTTAAAATGACACGTTTTAATGAATAAAATACCTCCAAAGTAATTAGCATCGCGATGCCAATAACAGGAGTATATATAGAGAGACGAAGAACATTTTAATACCCCAAAACTAATTCGCATCGCGATGCTAATAACAGGAGTATATATAGAGAGACAACGTTTCCAAATATCAAGATCATAAGCCTCACAAAGAGAGAGATTACAACATATTTTTTTGGTTTCACAATGCATTCAGTTTTCTTAAAAGTGTAGTAGACGATCGTGATGAGCGACTCTTCAATGTTCTACCTCTACTGAAGCGTGCGGGATTTCTTTACACTGTCACGCAACGTACAAACAAAGGACTTTTACTTCCTAACCTGTTCTGGAATACGTTGTACATTGAAATCCGTGCAGAAATAAAATATCCGATATGAAAATTTTAAATATGTTACTTTATGAATGAAATTGATCAGAAAAAGAATAAATGAGAGTACTAAAATGTATTATGCATTTACATGTAATCGCAATGGATAGCATTTATTCCGTATATGAAGACATTAAATATATATTGAATTTTGAAAGTTTTGTTTTTGAAGACCTTGGAATTTATTCCGTTATCAATTATCTCAACTTATTTCTACATAACGGAATAAAGTACATATAATGAATTTTGATACTTTTGTTTATGAAGACATTTATTCCGTTAAATGTTTATCTCAGCTTATTTATAACGGAATAAAGTGCATATATTGATATTTGATAGTTTGTTTATGAAGACATTTATTCCGTTAAATGTTTATCTCAACTTATTTATAACGGAATAAAGTGCATATATTGATATTTGATAGTTTGTTTATGAAGACTTTTATTCCGTTAAATGTTTATCTCAACCAATTTATAACGGAACAAAGTGCATATATTTAATTTTGATAGTTTGTTTATGAAGACATTTATTCCGTAATATATTTATGTCAACTTATTTTTAACGGAATAAAGTGCATATATTGAATTTTGCAGTATAGTTTTGCATGTTTTGTTTATGAAGACATTTATTCCGTTAATACATTTATCTCAACTTTTTTTTATAACGGAATAAAGTTCATATATTAAATTTTGATAGTTTTGTTTATGAAGACATTTATTCCGTTATATATTTATCTCAACTCATTTATAACAAAATAAAGTACATATATATTGAATTTTTTAGTTATATAATTTATAGTTTTGTTTATGAAGACATTTATTCCGAATTATCAAAAATGCATTATTTTTTATACCGTACTTGAGAATAAGGTTATTTCTAAAAATATCACGGAAGTAACCAATTTCCCATGCAGAATTGTCTTTCGTTCCTCTGTCAGACATGACTTATGTATAAGCCGATGACAGAGAGTGGGAATTAACGGAATAAGCATAAAATCCATAAATATTGTTGTTTAAAGACTAAATTTTTAATTCTAAGCTCGCAAAATTATAATTTTATTTACGTCAACAACGTCAACAACGTCAAAAATTATTCGCATCGCGATGCTAATAACAGGATAATGCCTGTAATCTTTATAAAAGTAATCGGTAAAGTTGAAAATAACAAAAATTATATTTAAATATTTCTCTTAAAATCGTCTGTATTTAACACCTAGGCGCACATGAAAGATGGTATTTCATTTATTCTGAATTTCCTCTAATTTTCCCAACTTTCTCTTCAAAGTTAAATGTTAACATTAATTTATCTATGTGTGTAAGTCGTGTACACACTTTTTCTAAGAAATAATGTACACAAGAAACCAAGTTTGTTATATTCTGGTAAACATAAGTATAGGAAAAGTGGGGAAAATTTTACTCACTAGTCTTGATACTTTTTTATTTTTAGTATCGTGAGGATGTTTGCTTTTTGCTGATTGTTGTAAAGTAAAATAAAAACTTGGTCTATTATTCACCTCTATAGAATATCAAATAAATTATTTCCCTTAAGATAAGGATAAATTTTAGTAAATGTGATTAAAAAAAATCTAAATTGAAATGCAGCACGAGTTTTTACGACATTTACCAGAAGCCATTGAAAAGAAAGGAGTGGAGATTCTTCGTTTGAACAAGGCCAAAGTTTTAAAACAGAGAATATGCAAATTGAAAAGGGCATATAAGGTGCTACAGTTTTAGATAAACTTACTTTTTTATGTTTACCAAAATGTACAATCAAAACTTTGATGACAACAGCTTAAAAAATGATAAGCAAGGTGACATGTGCACGGACCGAATTTTCTCTATGTTGTGTAACATGCAGTCGGTCGAGTGAGAATAGTATCAGACTACAGTACTCTACATGTAGGTGATGTCACGACGGTGTCCCCATCTTTGGAACAAGTGAATTAATAAGTGCCTAACACATTAGCTGCAGATCTGTAGCTTTATGGTTTTATAGATTTGTCTTTGACCATAACGCTACAGATCCCCTAGTTCACTTTCCAGCATCAGTCAGTCAACAACCTTTCATTCCTTAATTCTAGGCACATTATTTAACTAATCTGTATATTTTATCTATCTCCCAACCAGTTATAGTCGTCTCTACAAGTGATAAACTCGCTTCATTAAAATTATTTGTTAGATTGCTGAAAAATGACTTCTGGGAGGTGGATAAAATAAACATGTTGGCTACAGAATGTGTCTAGAATTAGGGAGTGAAAGGTAGTTGATTGACCAATGCTGGAGAGTGGAGAAATTCTCTCCAAAAGTGCGCAAAAAATATTACACCGTAAATTGCACCTTTTTTGCACTACGGGATCTGTAGCGTTATGGTCAAAGACAAATCTATAAAACCATAACACTACAAATCTGCAGCTACTAACACATATGATCACCATATCCGTTGTATTTTCAAAGTCTCACATATATTAACGTTATATCTATAGTTACTAGCTCAAAGTTGCAAGTTATAAACTTTGCAATGGAGAATATAAATTTCCGATTTAGCGTTCATAAAATCAGAGATGATGCAGTGTTTCTGCAAAAAATTTTAACCAAGGGTCATTATGACCCTTTGATATAAAGTTTTGGGAGTCAAAACGATTTTTTGAGGGTCAAAATATATTCTGGTTTTGCTTACAGTTCTCATATTAGCATATTACATGTATAAAAAAAAAAAATAATAAAGTAAAATATAATTGATACATGTATACTTCTTTTATTTACCGGTACACTGTCACATTTTACCGATTACACCATTAGGGTTTTGTGAATACCTCAATCAAAAGATAACAATTGAAAGTGATTGATTGCTTTACAAAACTGTTTATTAATGAATTGAACTTTACTCACCATTATATTACCATAATTAGCCTTTTTGACAAAGCCAAGCTGATATAAATATGCCGATGTAAGACTGAACATGCTGAAGGGCCATTTTTATCTGCACTTCCGGTTTTGTTAAGAATTACTAGATAGATCGTACAAAAGAATTTAATAGATTGTTGACGTGGAAATGCCGATTTCAATCACTGCCACTTTGAAATTAAACTAAAAGCAATGATTAATTCCTAGAAAGTTGTCCAGAATGTAAATTAAATATGTAAAATATCTTCTTCTATGAAGGCATCAATATTGAACTGGATTTTTAAAATTTGTTTCAATTTTTTTTTCTGCGTCATGATGACCCTTTAGGTGACGTTTTTGGGGGTAAAAAGTAATTTTTGTGCGTAAAATACGCAGAAATATGCGTTAACGGAAACACTGTGATGTCATTGCCATGTATCAATGGAGTGAAAATGAATAAAGTTTTTAAAAAAGCATCTGTTTTGGTTTGTTTCGAGAACATAGGGCTCTGCTATTCTTGCAAAGCTTTCTGGTGGGATGAACGTCGGACATCTCAGCCCAATGACACCTCGGCTCTGACAGCTAGGTTGCCCAAGATTTGAGACGGCCCATACATAAGACACTTTGACCCAAGCAAAATTTCATTACAAAATATAATTATATTGTAACAAATATTTATGTATTAATATGAAGAGAAACAATGCCAAATGATATGATAACATACAATTCTTGTAATTTTTGGTCAGCCAGTCATGGCCGAGGTGTGAAACGTGACAGGTGGAGGTGTCATTGGGCTGAGATGCCTGTCTATGGTGGGATTTATGCTTTTTTCTCATTTATGTTCCCTTAAGTTTGCTGATAAAGAAGAAGGTACATTTTCAATACAAATAAGCCCTGTATTTTTCCAAAAATATGAAAGTGATTTAAGAAATTAAAATTCATTCTTTCTGAATCATAGGAATTCCATGCAGTAAGAATACTCAAATTGTTTTTCTCATTTGACCTCCTATATGCTAATTGTGACGTTATTAACTGGTGCATTTTCCCGTATTTTCTTAAAAAGTTGCAGAAGACATTCATTTTCAGTGAAATTTTCTTCCAGAAAACGTACTCTGCCACCGTCGCCCAGAAAGATTTTGGTATGTGTGATTTTTCAAAACAGTTTACATAATATATCCAAAAATTGAAGTGGGCGACGGTGGCAGACACTTTTTTCTAAAGGAAAATAAGCACAGAAATGAGTCATTCTGAGGCTTTTCTGCACCAAACGTAGAAATCTACCGAATTTGTGACGTCATATTTTCAGAATGGTCCTCCATCATGCCGTATTCTTTAATGATTTATCATATTCATCTACTTAACTATTATTAAAGCCAATTTCACAACTTTTTAAGAACATTAAATTTTAGGGCACAATAAAGCCCAAACCGTACCTTCTTCTTACTGCGTGATTCCTGTTAATTGTTAGATAAAAGTCTTGCATTTCATCAGTCAAAAATAAATGACCAACTTTTGAATATTTTTGAAAATTTTTTTATTTTTTCGGGTTCAAATTCAAACTATATAATGAAGATGACAGATGTTGAGAAATAAATTAGTCTGGGTGTTTGTTTGTAACAGAACAAGAAAGAAATGAAAAAATATAAATGTATCTCTCTTCATAATTCCCCAAATCAGCATTCAGTTCATACTATGTCTTGGGTATCAGAGTTTAACATAAGGATATATGGGGGGTGGGGTGTCTTTTTCTCAAGAGCAGCAAAACCATGTGTCTATAGTCATATTAACTATCATAATGGTATATATCTTGAGGTAGTGTCCATTTAGGTAACCCCAAGAGGTAGGGTGGGACTTCTTCCATAAGATTAATGACACCTGTGATGTAGGGGTAGGTTACAACATGGATCAAAGTTTTACGTAGGAATAAAAGTATTATAGATAAAAATCTACTGAAGAAGAACAGTAGGGCCATACTGAGTTGTGGTCCGTGAATCTCATGATTTGATTTATATGTGACACACTGACACTCTGTAATTGTCCCACATCAAATTTGATGAGTATTGTACATGTGAATTATACTGATTTGACTAAATGTTGTAGATCACCAGTGTGTAGGGATGTCTAGAGAGACGCTGAAGACGATTTGTAAGATAGGACTCGGGGTCACTATGACGGCCATCACTGGCTTCTACGCCTTAGAGGAGTCCATTGGTTATGTCAGCAGGGTAGATGGCATCTCAATGCAGGTATTGAGTTATATGCGTTTTGCTTTAGCTTATTGATACTATATACTGGTACAATATATAATATGAAATACACATTTTTAGGTCACCTCAACGTAAGTTAGGGGGAACTTATGTGATACCTTCGGCATCCCAGGTTAAGGTTTTGGGAGCAGTTTTCTTTTTAAGTACTTCTGTACCCTACATTGATCAAATATGCATGGAAGATACTTGTAATGTGTTTTATTATACCACTCAAGGTTTCAGAAGCTGCAATTTTAGCTAAGGAATGGCCAGGTTAATGTTTTTGGAGCAGGTTAACATTTTTTATGCAGTTTTTTGTGCAGATCTGATTTCCAACTAACTCTAAGCCCTATGTTGACCAAACTTGCATGGGTGATTCATCTAAGGATGCATACTATCTGGCTTGCTTCAGATGCTGGATCTGACCTACATTTTCCAGATGAGTGAACAGGTTATATTGTTTGGTGCAGATCTGATTTCCGAGTTAACTATAAGCCCTATGTTGACCAAACTTGCATGGATGATACATCTAGGGATTCACACTAATAATTGCATCTCAATTTTCCAGATGAGTGATTTTTGGATGTACACTTCTTAGATTATTAGTTTAATGTGGGGCTTTGCCTTACTTAAAGACCACCATTTGTTGAGGTGAGCTCTGTAATCTCTGATTACTTATGCTTCTGAATCAGTGATGCTCTGGATGTATAATGCTCTAAAAACTGGAGGAAAACAAGCAAGAACATTCCAAATTTCGATATTCAAATGCATCTAGATAAATTAGGCAATTTAGTTGTTGTTTTATATCCCTTTCTTGGTTCTTGAGGTCATTGAGTAGTGATTGAGGGAACTTTATTGTGCCAAAGCCTGCGATGGCATGGGGCCTCGGTTTTTAAGATCTAATGCAAAGGACCCACAATTTTCACTTCAAAGTGCCAAGTGCTTGACAAAGGAAGAGTTGCTACCTATTTTTTATCGGCTTAGGTCAGTATTGGCCAGCTAGGGTTCAAACCCACGACCTTCTGATCACAGAGTGAATGCACTAAAAACTGACCTACTGTGTCAGTCAGATGCATAATTACATGTACCGGTATATTATACACTTATCCAATGGTTGTGAGTGGGATAGCTCTTTTATCAAACCCGCGACAGGGAACTATTCCCCGAGGGCTTGCCCGAGGGGAATAGTTCCTGTCAAGGGTTTGATGAAAGAGCTATCCCACTCACAACCAGTGGATAAGTGTTTTATTATACTGATGTATATTACAATTTCTAAGGTTTGAATTTTCTTTGGAGTTAGATAATACTGCAAGAATGAGCTGAAATCCTGATGACGTCACAATGCTACTGAAGTCATTATGACATCATCAGGCTTTGGATTTAACGCTGGAAATTAAAATTGGCGTCAAAAATTGCATGAAAATTTTCCGAAGGGTGGGTAGCAAAAACTATACCCCGGGGTATAGCTTTCTATGCGGGGAAATTTTCAGACTATTAAGAATAGTTATTTTACCTTCTGAACTTTATATAGGAAACATTTTAACAGAAGTATAATAACAAAAACTATACCCCGAGGTATGGCTTTACTATGCCAGGACTATCAAAGATAGCTATTTAACCTTCTTAACTTTATATAGGAAACATTTTAACAGAAGTATAATAAAGATGTTTATTGACTGTTCAAGAGTTTAAGATCGAAGAACAAGAAATAATTCCTATCCAATAAATGTTTTATGCATGCTTGATCCATATTCTTGTACATATTTAAGTATAATGTGTTAAATTTCATTTATTATTTCTGTTGATTTTTAGCTCTACTGTTCAGAGACCAGAAGAGCTTATGCAATAGTAATGCATCCGGCGTCCGTCCGTCTGTCCGTCTGTCTGTCTGTCCGTCTGTCCGTCTGTCTGTAAACAATTTTTCAAAATGCTACTCCTCCTACAGTTTTGATCTGATTTCAATATAACTTGACACACAAGTAGACTACACTAAGATACATAATTCTGTGTATCGGTTTTTGATTTCGATAAACGGTGTTGCCGTGGTTACTAAAAATAGAAATTTCTGTGAAATTCTTTCAAAATGCTACTCCTCCTACAGTTTTGCTCTGATTTCAATATAACTTGGCACACTAGTAGACTACACTAAGATACATAATTCTGTGTATCGGTTTTTGATTTCGATAAACAGTGTTGCTGTGGTTACTAAAAATAGAAATTTCTGTGAAATTCTTTCAAAATGCTACTCCTCCTACAGTTTTGGTCTGATTTCAATATAACTTGGCACACAAGTAGACTACACTAAGATATCGGTTTTTGATTTCGATAAACGGTGTTGCCGTGGTTACTAAAAATAGAAATTTCTGTGAAATTCTTTCAAAATGCTACTCCTCCTACAGTTTTGGTCTGATTTCAATATAACTTGGCACACAAGTAGACTACACTAAGATACATAATTCTGTGTATCAGTTTTTGATTTCGATAAACGGTGTTGCCGTGGTAATTAAAAATAGAAATTTCTGAGAAATTTCTTTCAAAATGCTACTCCTTCTACAGTTTTGGTCTGATTTCAATATAACTTGGCACACAAGTAGACTACACTAAGATACATAATTCTGTGTATCGGTTTTTTATTTCATTAAACGGTGTTGCCGTGGTAACTAAAAATAGAAATTTCTGAGAAATTTCTTTCAAAATGCTACTCCTCCTACAGTTTTGGTCTGATTTCAAAATAACTTGGCACACAAGTAGACTACACTAAGATACATAATTCTGTTTATCTGTTTTTGATTTCCATGAACGGTGTTGCCGTGGTTATTAAAAATAAAAACGTCTATAAAATTTTTTCAAAATGCTTTACTCCTCCTACAGTTTTGGTCTGATTTCAGTATAACTTGGCACACAAGTAGACTACACTAAGATACATAATTCTGTTTATCGGTTTTTGATTTCATTAAACGGTGTTGCCTTGGTATTTAAAAATAGAAATTTCTGAGAAATTTCTTTCAAAATGCTACTCCTCCTACATTTTTTGGTCTGATTTCAAAATAACTTGGCAAACAAGTAGACTACACTAAGATACATAATTCTGTTTATCGGTTTTTGATTTCGATAAACGGTGTTGCTGTGGGTACTAAAAATAGAAATTTATGTGAAATTCTTTCAAAATGCTACTCCTCCTACAGTTTTGATCTGATTTCAATATAACTTGGCACACAAGTAGATTACACTAAGATACATAATTCTGTTTATCTGTTTTTGATTTCCATGAATGGTGTTGCCGTGGTTGTTAAAAATAAAAACGTCTATAAAATTTTTTCAAAATGCTTTACTCCCCCTACAGTTTTGGTCTGATTTCAGTATAACTTGGCACACAAGTAGACTACACTAAGGACATAAAGAGACTTTATCAAGGATCATTATTCTATTTATTGCTGTTGTAAAGTTTCAATTCCCAACTGCTTAAGTACATTTCTCTTCCTTTGCTATAAGTACAAACCAGTAGAGCTTCAGTCTCGACAGAGACTTCTGGTTAGCATGTAACATATATTAATTAACACATTAATTTTTTTGCCTAAATATTGGCAAATAAGTTGTATTTTTGCATCTGAAATTATCATGATTAATTTCATTCATTGAAAAAAAAATAAACTATTATATCTAGAATTAGTTGCAATTATTATAAATCAATCGGCAGTGAATTAGTCAAGAGTTGTGTCCCTTTTGCTAGTACATAGAATACAAAGAGTTTGTCACAAAAATTATATATAAAAATGTCTGTATAATTTTGTCATGTTTATAGGGCACATTAATGCATTGATACACCAGTCGGCAATGTATAAGTCAAGAGCTATCTTCCCTTTTGCTATTGACTTAATAAAATTTATTTATTATTTTTGTTGTAGGACACATTAAATCCAAGTAAATCCAAGAAACAGCATGACTACGTTTTCTTGAGCAAGTCACACAATCTTCTGAAGAAAGGAAACATAAAACATGGCGATATTGTGTCTATCAAGTAAGTTACTATTTCATGTATTTAAAAGTATCAGATGTTAGATTGAGTGCATAAATCATCTGCGGACTCTCTTTGAACTCCACATATTTTTGTGTGTGTTTAGGGTTTGCTACATAGAATTTTATGTATATATGCTGTATTTTTTGTGGTTAAAGAAAAAGTTCATACAGGGTTGCCCTTAAAGACCCAGGGGCCAGGGAATATCCTCACCTATAATGATGTAATCTCCCGGCTCCAGGGCCATAAAACTTTGAACAGCAAATTTTTTTTTCTCATTCTTATTTTTAAAAAAAGGGATTAATAGTGGAAAGTGAGATTAAGATCAAAACTGAGCTTTATAGGTTTAAAAAATCATATCATATATTTTTCTGTGTTAATTAAGTCATGTATACTTTCACAATACTTCTTTTTTTGTACAAATATATGTACATATTTCAAGCTTCTTTGTCTTTTTTAATAGTTTTTCATACATATAAATAATGAAAGCACTTTTTCATGTAAGATTTCAGATTGTTTGTAATAAATTTTAAATAATTCTAAAAGAAAAGTATGCATCATGCATCTGTATATATATATATATTTCCATTTCTAATTTTTTTCTCTGTGATAACTCTTTGAAAGTTGTCGGAGTTTATTTCTTGATAATTCTGCCGGAATGTAAATTAGGCAGGTCGATAGGTTAGGAGCTAAGGAGGCCTAATATGCATGCAAATCTCGTGCGCATCTGTCTCTGTGTCTGACGCTAAGGAGGCTAAATATGCATGTAAATCTCGTGCGGCTGCCTTTGTGTTTGACGTCAGTGGGCGAGGACTATTGAAATAAGCATGGAAGTCCTCGTGTGATTTAAGTCTATGTCTACATTTTTAAAGTCTAAATCTGCTATTTTATTTCACAATGAAATGGAAATATAAGGAATCACTGTCTAGTTTTGAGAGTATGCCAGGGACATCAACAATAGTGAGAAACATGGAATAATTTTAGCATAACGGGCTTCGCCCGTTATGCAAATTATCCCATGTTTCCCACTATTGTTGATGCCCTGGCATACTCTCAAAACTAGACAGTGATTCCTTAAATAAATAAAATTTTGCAAATGATGTACAGATTATTTAGAATAAAGAAACTGCTTGATGAATAATTATCATTAAACGATGTATTGTCAATTAACAACGATTATTTTCATCTTATTTTGATACAAAATAGTAAATACAATTTATAAATGAGTCAAATGCTGACTGAGTGTTTTCATAGTTACTAATTGTTATTCCAATATTTACACACTGAATCGATGACAGATTTTTCCATTATTTCCTGATCTTGACAAGAAGCACATGGTGGGTGTGACAGGTCAGCAGGGGATGCTCACTCCTCCATGGCATTGTCTGTTGACAATAATGACTAATGTTTGAGTCTAAACTCTTGCAGGTGCTTTTCCACATCAATTGCTTAATTTCCCATAATTCCCCTTGTAGTATTTACTTTTCTTAATGGTCTCTATCTAGCAAAGGTCTCTATCTAGTTTTCAGCTTGCAGAGAAAGTGGTCCCCAGATCTAACCATAACAGAAACCTGCATCACATTTATTGATTTAACAGATGACAAATCTCATATCTCATGTTTGCTTTGATTTCTGCTCAGTTGTCCAATTATCTTAGGTTTTTTTCTCTTGAACTATTATTGTTCTTTTAGTTTAAAAAAAAATGTCCAAATGCAAAACAGCTGTTAATTTTTTAGTCTGCTTTACAGTGAAGTATTGACTATTGTGGCGAATTCAGGGAAAGTTGTATTGAATTTTGATTTTTGTTTTCCGTGTTTGCATGATTATGCCTGTGGGAATATGGCCACATGTAGTTTTCGTGAGAAAAAGAGATTTCATGGTGATTGAAGCGAATGTCACAGTGGCCTTATTCCCTAAAGAGGATTACAGCACTACAAAGTCACAGTGGATTAGGCAAATTCCAATCTACTGCAATTAATTTTATACCAGTTGAAAAGCATCATTTTTGACATCTAAGGGATATCGTATCAAATCGTTCTCTTTTTTCTCTAATATGCATCTCTCTGAATAGTTGCTTCCTTTTTCCTCTCTCTTTAATCTAAGATTGTGAATATATAACACCATGATTTTCAAAGTGGAATATGAGAGAAAGCATACAAAAACCCCCATATTACCACAAACAAAATTATATAAAATAAAAATACACACCCACAATAAAAAAAAAACCTCCTTTGGTAATAAACAATGGGGGAATGAAATGGCCAAAGTCAGAACCAAAAGAAACAAAGTATATATTACATATTTATTGTAAAGGATTTATTTCAAATTTTTTATTAAAAAAAAGACAGAAAAAAATGCCCTAACATATACACTTGAACACACATTTTTATAATACTTTGATTTTCAGTTTTTAGTAAAACATTTTCATTGCCATTGTAAAACTTTGTATATTGTATCATTTTGAATTTGACAATCGCGATAAAATTTGCCATTGTTGTCATATAGCACCTGTTGGAAGCTAATCCTGTGATTGAATCAGCGATGTGCGGGAAGAGCATGCTGCGGGAGTTGTCTGCCCTTGATACATTGATTCTAAGGGAATTACGTCCATAAGACTCTCTGTGTCGTTACTGTACAGCGGCTCTAGGTAGTCTTTTCTCTTACCCACACGACGTATCACAAACACACAACATCCCAGAACCAACAACATGAAGATTGACGTCACAACACCAATCACCATTTTAGAATTTATGTGCGTTATTCCCATCTCATTGAAATCGAGATCATTGGTGGTTATGTTTGTGCAATGAACAGTATACAATTCTGTTTCAAATACGTACACAATACAGAACATATAGGTCGTTAAAGGGGTCAGATTGGTAAAGGTATAGCGGAACTGTCTAAGTCTTCTATCTAATGGAATGATTTGAAATTTGTCAGGTCTGTCCGACTGTCTATAATGGATCTCGTAACCTGTCATGGACCATTGATTGCGAGTTCCGTTCCATGATATTGTTATGAAGTTTCCAGCCACGAATTCTGGAGAAATCCGGACAGGCTTATTGTTGATAGTTACGTATGTCGATCTCACGTCAAATCCGGATGGACTCTGAGCTTGACAGGAATAAGTTCCTGTATCTGTTTCATATAAATATTTTAGAATAAATGTCGAATTATTATGAATTTTATATCGACCTGATTGTAAATTTTCTTTGCGAAGAATCGTTTTGTTGGGTAATCGCCAACTTATTTGGGGAAAAGGTAACCCCATGGTGTAACATTCCAGATGAAGCTCTTCTCCAATGCTGAGATTGTAATGGTTTTTAAAAAGAGGAATTAAAATGGGTGCACAGGTGAAATTGAGATCCGATAAAGGCAAATCTCGCAGCAGTTTGCCCTTCTTATTTGAAGGTGCACTACACTTAAGCATGGAGTCCCCAAATAGTACAGATCTATATGTCCTATTTGCTTTTTCCTTGAGATTTTCCTGTTTTATCCACATTGCATTACAGTCACACACTAGTTCATTGTTGTATAGGTGTAGCGTTTTTAGTGCTGGAAGGCTGTCTTTTAAGATGGAAGACACACTTCCTAACTTGTTGTTATGGAGATACAAATTTTTCAGTCGTGCACAATTGGTGAAAGTTTGAGGATCTATATAGACGAGTTCACTATTATCGTGAAGTTGTAGAGTCACCAAATGTTTAAGATTTGAAAATGATTCTTTTTCAATAACTTTTAGTTCGGGCATGTAACTCATTGTCAACATTGTCAGATTCACAGAATGAAAGGCATGATATGGAATACGTAGAATGGGGTTCTTGTCAAAGTAAAGGTACTGTAGCAATGGAAGATCATGGAGTTCCTGGGTTGGAATGGTTTGAAGTTGGTTATTTGTCAGATCCAAAATCCTCAGGTGCGATAGTCCATTAAATGCGCCAGAATCGATGTGCGAAATCCTGTTTTCATCAAGCTTCATTGTAAAGAGGCCAGAAAGCATTTCGAACACATTAGCTTTAAGGCGGCCAATTAAATTGTTAGACAGAAAAAGCCAGCCGAGGCTCGGCATGCTGATAAACCACTGAGGAGACAAATAACGCAGGCGATTTCCCTGAAGGTGGAGTTTTTTCAGATAATTCAATCCGCCAAAGGTATGGGGCTCAATGGAGTACAGCTGATTGTTTGAAAGGTCGAGTACTTCCAAGAACATCATACCACTGAATGCACCATTCTGTAGATACGATATGCTATTATTCTGAATGATAAGTTGTCGGAGAGCTGTTAGCTTGTGAATCTGTCTGTCAAGCGTTTTTAAATTGTTGAAAGAAATATCCAAAAATCTTAAATTTTTCAATGGTAATTTCAAGCTGAGACGTACTAAATGGCAGTGAGATAGATCCAAGATTTGTACATCTAATGGAACATTTTCTGGAAATACATTGTTCACAAAGTCTGCTCCAATACATACCACAGTCTTGTTGAAAAAACTCCTGTATTTTGGGTAATCCATCATTTTACACGTACAATTTTCCGGACATAATCCAGATGCCCAGTTTGAATCTCTGTCCTTTGTTGCATCGCTTTTGAAGGTAACAATGTGTGAAAACAAAAAATTCATGACAAGAAAACTGAAAAGTTGAACAGACAAGTCTATTCCCACTTTCAGCATGTCGCCTCTTTAAACCTCATGTTTAAGTGTTCCATTGAATATGAATCTTTCTATCAGTCACATACACATTGTGCAGATTCATTTTTGTTAATTAAGGCATAATGAATTCCAGAACAGGAAGCTAATTGGAAGACAATGATTAGCAACAGTAAAATACTTCAGATCGAGTCACTTCCAGCAGCATGTAGAACATTTTATCCAGTTCTGAATCAATCAAATCAATCCTTAAGGAAATGGAAAAATGAGCAGACGGATTGCAATTTTTTTTTATTTTCATTGAAAAATATTAGATAATTTGTCCAGAAATTGCATTCCTTGGAAAGCATTCAACATG